GTACGCTCCAGTGCTACAGTTTTGGAAATGCTCTGATAACACTTCTTGTAAGAGCAGCTGGATTGACTACAGATATGTATATCTTACTAGATGATCTTTTCCTTTCTGCATCTTCAAGAATTAAAATGACAACAGGCCTTCTTGTTCTTGTTATAAGTTCATGTCCTTACCATTGTGGGCAACTGAGTTTTAAAACTCCCTTGAATGATGACTTAAGTCTGTCTTCCAAGTTAATAATTTTTCTTTCTCCACTGTGTAAACTGAAATCCATAATCCTCTGATCTTCTGCATGAATATGTTCATGACCATTTGTGCTTGTGCCAATACTGGCGTTTAGCCAAATTAGCTGTTCTCTCTTAATGGGATTTACAGAAAAATTATATTCTCTAAACCTGGGATGGTGATGAGTTACCTGTGAATGTACTGCACTGCTTAAATGAGAAGACCAGAGAATGACATTTTTTTCAGGAGACTGTGATGACTTGTTTGTTGTTGCAAAGCTGAATCTTGTAGGGCTCATAGTCAGAGGTACTGTTACTGCCTAATGTGACCTCCCAGGTTTGCAGGGGCCAATTCTGCAAAGCTCTGATTGCTCTTAGTGTTCCTCTTGGCTTCCTTGATTCAAAATAAAGGTTTATTATTTCCTGAGCATGGGTGTAGACCAAACTTCATTACTGCTGAGAATGAGTTTCTCTGCAGACGCAAATTGTTCTATTGCACAATTCCATTAATCTGTCTTCCTCACCTTCCTGTTGCCTTATGTGTGGACTTCCAACTCATCCTCCTTGCTAGCGTTGACATTTGTAGCAGTGGAGAAATAAAGTTAGGAAAATGTGTAGCTTTCCAATGCATAAACCCAAACACTCTTATTTTTAAGAGCCAGTAGGTTACTTGTAGCCGAATGCTTTGCAGGGTTAAGAGGTGTTCAGTGGAGAGTTGCTGATCAGCCAGGCCTGAAGGGTAGTTGTGCAGCTGAAGGAGTTGACACAAATAGGTGTGTGAAGTAGTGAGAAGCATAGGATTTGGCTGTCACCTTCTTCCTCTTGTTAGAAGGCATTGGCTGCAAGACAGATTCCCTGAGCAAAGCTCTAGGGCTTGGGTCTACTGTAGGAGGACCACTTGGAAAAGTAGCTTTGCAATATAAATTTGGGATATTATGCAGTTTCTGCATGCAGAAGGAAATCTTGTTGGTTTAAATGGAACAGCTGGTTCTGGGGTTTTCCTGTTTGTTTTCTGATCCTACTGGTGAACTCAATGTCAGACATGGCAAACTACTCCAGCCTTTTCCTTGCCTCTCTCATTACATCCCATAGGTATACACTGAGTAAAAACTTTAAAATATAAACTATTATTGTGATACCTCTTACTGTAATATCTGTTACTGTAATATCTGTTAGTGTTCGGAATACAGTATTCAAATTAACCTTCCCCTTTTGTATTTGGGAGAAAGGGGCTGGGGAGGGAGGGGGACAAACAGAGCTTCCTGTAGGATGAATGAGTTTGTAGACAAAGTTGTCTTTCTCTTATGATTTCTGTTCTAGAAAAATGTGAAGCCTTACTTTAAAAAATTGAAAACTGCCTGAGAGGCTTTGAGAAATTTTGCAAGATAAAATTTTTGGATGAGTGCCTGGCCTGAACCACTTGGAAGCTGTGAGCGGCTTAACAATGTGTGTAGGGAAAACTACATTTTGAGTCTTCTTTCTGTTTCTTTTGTTGCCAAAAATAGCAGCTTTCATGCATGAGTAACATAAAACATAATTTCAGATTCCTGTTCATTACAGGGATCAGAAGTCTTTCATAGAATGGAAGATTTTTGTGTGGTTTCACTTGAATTTAAGGCTTAAGAAAAAAATCATGCCAAATATGCTATGTCTCACAAATGTTAGTCTATAGCACATGTTAGTCTATAGCCTTTCTTCAGAAACCAGTCAATGTAGTATTTCTATTGATTTCTGTGATTTAATCAGTTTGACACAGATCTTTCAGTCTTATTTGAAACTTATGTCTGAAAACTTTCCTGTCAAAGAACTTCCCACTGAACTTGCAGTGATACCAAACAAACTGTTGAGACCTCTTAGTTCTTCCTGACATGCACAGAGGCTTTTAAGAGAAAAGATTTTCAAAAGAAATAAAAGACTTTAGGTTGGGTTGATGGTAGTGGGTGACTTGGAGGAAAGCGTTGACTTTTTTTATTATTAAATTAGCCTTAGATTTTAAGACAGGTGCTACACTTCAAGCTAGCAGTTTTTACCATCGGTGTTTAGAATCAGTGCCAATAATCTTTTGCAGAAAGCCAGCCTTGCATTAACTTGTATTAGCTAGTCTCATGAGATTGGTTAAGTACATCACAGACAGAAAGAGGTTTTCTTGTTCATGAAGACATTAAAAATCACTCTAGTTTCAGTTTGTGACTGGTATAGTTCCAGTGACTAAAGACTTTATCATAGTCAATTGTGATACAATTTGCACTATATGGATGGTACACATTAAAGGGGGAGAAAATACCCTAACTGATTGTTGCTAGTTTTTTCAGCTGCTTAACAAGTGAGATTAGAGGCCAGTTTTTCAGGCACTTGGACATGGCTTAATGAAGCATTATGTTCTTAGCTTTGCAAAAGAATCTAAGGGGTCTCAGCTGCACTACTCAGGATTGGGGGAACTTTTTATCATAATCTGGGGTGGAAGCAAAACCAACTTCTGTGGTGCTATGTAAATCTGAATACAGGATGAGTGCAAGCAGAGCTGGGAATCAGAGTTCACGTAGGATTCTCTGAAGAGCTGTAAGGAAAATGTGCTTTAGTTAAGACAGACAGAGTCAGTATGTTAAACCTGGTTCCACAGTTCACAGGGCTGTGTTTTGCTATGTTTTGTGACATCCAGGAAAAAACGATGAAGAGGAGCCTACCAGGGTGGATGGTATCTTGATATCTTGCCTCTGATTGAAAACAAAGTGGGAGTGCAACCTTAGTTGAAGAAAGTGCTCTACAGAGTGATGGTATCTGAGAAGTTTAGTAGTAGTGCAGCTTGCTGTGAGGTCTCACACCCCCTGAAGATGTGCCCTTGCAAACTGTTGTTCATTTTGGGAGAACTGAAGTTCTGTTTCCACTAGTTTAATCGACTTGTGTACTGAGAGACATCAATGAAGTCTGCAGCCTAATTGACTGTTTCTTTTAGGTTTTTAAATTATTATAATTGGACAGTGTAACACTTCTCCTCTTAGCCTTCTTTAACATAAAGACAAAGACATGATAAGATGTCTGCAACAACTTTCTTGCAGACTTGATTGATCTTGGGAAAGAATTTTGCCCAATTTACGAGAAAAAATCTTTGATAATTCTAGTTCATGCATCTTTCTCTTTGACAAATTAGAATTGCCTTGTAAGTGAATAGTCCTTTGGAACCAGGGCCTATAAAACAGAGGCAGAACAGTATTTCTAATTACTGCTTACAAATGCAGTTTGGTTTGTACAAAGCAATGATGTTCATGTTACTGCATGACCTGTAATTCCACATCCTCATGATGGTTACAAATAAATTATTTCACATTTATTTTGTATGTTCTGTGGGACAGTGATGGGGCCTTCCTTTTTTTTTTTTTGTGTTACTTGAAATGAATGTGATAAATGCTCTTGACTTATTTTGTTTTGTTTTCCCCCTTTCCCCCACCTCCGAATTGTTCTGCTAACTTTAAGAACAACTTAAAATGCACTTATTTTAAAAGTACAATTTGAGGGACACTTGATTTTGTGTTTTAGGGTGTGAGTTGCTGTATTGGGAAGGAATATATTTTCATGGCCACCTTGTTCAAGAGGCCTGTAAAACAGGTTTGACTTGAAGTGACCATTTGAACTTCATAAAGTAGTTTAATCACACTGAAAAACTTGTTTCTTTTAATTAAAAATGCATACATAATCTACTTCCTTGATCCCTGATACTACAACTTGTTCTTCCTTGTCTCTTTTTTTAGGGAATGTTTTGTTTGTTCTCAAACACTGGATATGCTGGGTCGATGAACTGTTACTTCAGGAAGTAGAGCTGAGAGGACCAACTGAGAAGACATCATTATTATGGCAAGCAAGAATGCAACACTTTCCCAGAAGTCTCTCTTCTAGGGAAGCACACACATACTGTACTGCGAGAAAGCAACATTTGGGACTTTTTAAAACACTGACTGTAACCTGGTCCAGCTTTCTCAGTGACTGCTGAAAAAGACTTTTCTTCTCCAACTTTAATTTAGGCTACAAGACTATCCTCAGAAGGATTTACCAGCCCCTTCCCACACAACAAGATGATTGACCTAAGCTTTCTAACAGAGGAGGAACAAGAGGCAATAATGAAGGTGCTGCAACGGGATGCAGAACTTAAAAGAGCTGAAGAAGAGAGAGTCAGGTAAGGCATCCAGCACCTTGGGTTGTTTTGGGAAGACCTACATAGTTCATATACTGAATTACTCGGGAATAGATTAGAATAATTTTTGCGAAGGACCCCATATTCCACAGTATATGTGGTTTGGAGATTCTTTTACTCTGGACTAGATTTAGCATAGTCTCTGGATTAAATCCCTCTACCACACAAATGATTCACTACTGACCAAAATTGTTTCAGACCCTTATAATTCCCTAAGGAGCCAAGAACACCTGGTATACATCTGTCTGGATACGCATCTGCCTTGGTTTGCTCAGAAGATGATTCAGTTTGCAAGTGTCAAAACCACTGCAAAACGAACTAATGCTTGATAAGCAGAGGGAGTTGATTCAAAATGAGCACTAGAAACCCAAATAAACAAAAAGTATGGTTGCAGTCAGCAATATGTCTGAATGCTGAAGTTATACCTCAAATCCATGAGGTGCAATATATTGGAGCTGCAGTCCAGAAGGGGTATCAACACTGTGCCCTGCTGCCAAGAGAAGTCCTTGCATAAAAATTCTCCTCATTTTCTCTGTGGTTTCACAGATGGAGCAATGTGTTTTTATTCTGGAGTGGTTTGTGCACTGGGAGGTTTTCCTGGAGCTATTTTAGGGTAACTGTTGTGACTAGAAATGCATGCAAGGAGAGCAGCTTTGCCCATATGACTGTGAAAGTTATCTACATGGGCATAAATAGCAGCCAAATAGTTGCTTCAGCTGATAGCTGCCTACTAAAGAGTGAGGATTTTAGTAGTCAGCTCTTTTTTGTTCTTTTTTCAGTGTGAGGGAAATTACCTATTACAAGGTACACAAAATAAGAAGTGGACATATAACGAAAAAGGGAGCCTGAGGTGCTGAAAACTCAAAGTGATATAACACAAATAAATGTTTACAGGTCTCAGTGAGGGTAGGATTTTCTCTCACTGATTTGGTAGTCTTGTTTAAGATTCCTTCTCTTTGTGATGTTCTTCATTAAGTTCTCTATTTCCAATTTAAATGTTTTGAAATTATTCCAACCATGATGCATCTCTGATGCTTCTCTTCTGGTGAGAAAAGTTTTTTTGACAAATGACCTCTGTGCAAGCATACCCTATACCCTGCAAAGGAAACAGCAGCCTGCCACTTGACCTAAGAGCAGTGTTCATTTTGCTGTATATGCTTGTGCAGCCTTGAAGTTGTTTTATCAGCATGTGGTCAGCATTTCTTAGAGTTATTCTTCTTGCTTCTTTTAGTGTAAGAGCAATAAAAGGTAAATAGCTTCTCCAGGTTAAAAAAGCTTCTCCTCTCAAGGCATTTGCTTTACTGAAGGCTGAAGGAAAAATCATTACAGACAATATTCACCCTTGCCCTCCCTCCCCATCTTAATGCAACCTGAGGAGATGTTTTCACCACATAGTTTTGTCTTCTACTTTAAAAAACAGTAAACTGACTTTCCTGTAACAGAACTGGCATTTTGTTTACTGTAAGTAGAAAAACACTGGTTTTAGTCTTGGAATGTTACATCAGTGCCAGACAGTGAAAGCATTCAGGCAAAGTAATTGTAGATGTGAATTTGAAAACAGCATTTGGGGAAAGGAACTCTTCTTGGAACAGAAATTCAAAAAAACCACTCTCAGTAGTGGCCTGAAAGGACTGTCAACAAGTATTTTTGTTCGTGTAGCTTCACTTTTGCCATTTGTAATTCTAGTTCAAGAGGGTGTGGTGGACAATGCAAGAGACTGCAGGTTGTAGCAGCCTGTAATCAGTACGTTTGTTTCTTCAATAAAATGCCTCTTCTGGTTTCTGAATATTGTAATTTCTGAGATGCTGGAAGCTTATATATGAAATGGATTTTTCTGCTTAGTTGTGGAACGTGGAGCTTGCTTTTTATATCTTATATATTAAAACACTACTTGAATTATATCTCCAACCAAAGAGATGTGATATTTTAGTTTGGGTTCAGCAACCTTGCACACCTGGAAGATTCCAAGAGCTGGAATCAACTGTCATCATTCAAACATCACACACTAACAAAGTGTTGCTTGTATGTGTATATAATGGAAGTCTTTCAATGTGATTTTTTTTTTCCCTCTAGAAGTTCTGAGGTTTGAAGGGTATTCTCATAATCTGTGCCATGTTCCTGGATCATGGACAAACTGGTAACATGACAAAATCCTCTTTGAGCAGCTTCCTAGTGGAATTTTACAAGTCACCTGATAGAGTCACTCCCCTGCTAACAGTTCCCAGTATTGCTAATCTGTAGTAAAACTGCACTGCTTAGGCAGGTCTGCAGCCTCCTTAAGGCACTCTGTTTTAATTCTTGGTTTGCTGAATACTATAATAGGTCTTTGGCCCATTCTGCAGCTCCTCTTGTGCTGGGCTGAATCAAGATTACAGGTTTAGAACAGCACTGCTTTGGGAACAGCGTGCCTGCTTCCTCTTTCACCTCTGCTGAGGCTTGTTCCAAAGGAGAGGGGTATTTTTTTTTCACTGGCAAAACGGTGATGAAGAAATCTCAGATGACAAGCAGGTGTGATGCAACGAAAGCAAAAGACATGTCATCTTTTTTTATTCCTTGTGAAAGAAGATTTCTCTCTTTGCTTCATTGCCCCAGGAGCTGCTGCCAGTCACTGAATAGCAGTGTTGCTGGGGAGGGGGGAAAAGGCATAAAATGAGAGAGTCAAGTAACAGCTTGTCAAGACTAGAAGCTGTTTTTCAGCATATTACCAACTTATTTTGTTGTTGTTGTCCTCATTCCTGTCCAGGAATCTCTGATATGCCCTGCTCCAGTACTGAACAAGTGAGTGGGCTAAGTGCATGACTGAATTACCTGGCAGTACCTCCAGCATAGCCCCTAAGGACTACTTTTACAGATGTGTGCTTGAAAATTAACATAATTTTGAACCCTTTCTGGAGACAGTAACGTGAATAGAAATATATCTGTCTGTGAAGTTGTGGAACGTGGTTGGGTGACTTCTGTGGTGGAGTGGCTGGCCCCTGGCACCAGCATGTCTGAAGCACAAGGCTGTTGTGGTTCCCTCTGTGACAGAGATCTCTGCTGTGGCTGTCAGCCCTTTCCTGCAGAACCTCCTGGCAGTGCTCTTGTGGGCTGTGCTTGGGATTGTTTGCTCCCTGTGTAAACTGAGGGAGGTTAATGATAGGGGAAATTTTGTTGTGGAGTTGTGTGGGTGGTGACTGCTGTATGCCAAACCCCTTTGATACATACCTTGGTGTGGCATTGCAAAAAAAGAGGAAGCTTCAGGGGTCTGATTCTGCTGGGAGTGAGTGGCTGTTGAAACTCTACTGTAAATGATTTTTAGGTTCTTGTCAGCTTTGACAGATATCCTCTTCAGTTACTTTTCAAGACAGTATTCCTTATATTGTACTCTACTAGAAGGACGGTGCTTTTTTGTGTGATGGGATATATTTAAGGTATCAGGGTGACATTAGGGTTAGCCAGACTTACACTAAAGTATGAAAATGACTGTCACCAGAATACATTCTTAAAAATCTTCATAAAATACTTTTCTGTTAGATGTAGCAGTTTTGAGGATGTGCTTAACACAGGCAGGGCTCTTGGTGGAGATGATTTTAAACATGGGTGTTAGATGAAATTTAAAGGCCTGACTGAAGATAGAGCTGCTGTCAAAGCTAACCTTATTTTTAAAAAGAATTGCCCATTTTTCCTACTCTTCCTCCAATTATTTATTCCAGATATTCTAGAAATTTTCGAAATGTGTACTCAATACCCACCCAAATGACTGTGATAGTTTGGTAGTGTCTGCATAGTTAGGTAATGAAGGACCGATTATAATTTCAGAATTTTGAAGAATCACTCTTTATCATTGCCATACAACACCTAGGGACTCTTTCCAAAGCTGAACTCTGCAGAAATGTTCATTTTATCAGTTCTCTGCTCCTTTTTTTTTGCAAAATCCTTTCTCTATCATTTGCACTACTTCATTATAAAAGTCTGAACATCTGTAAATGGAAAAATAACATATTAAAGAGGTGTGGCTTACAGGCAAGGCAAGAGCACGATATGTTTGTATGTGCTTTGCAGTCTGTCCTGACCAGAGAACAGAATGGTACTTTGTGTCTAGCTGAGGTGTCTTAGGCTGACCATCATGCCTTCTGACTCAAAGTAAATTTTTTTGAAAGCTTACTTGGGATTGGGGATATCACAAACGACAACTTTCTCTAAATTTAGGGCTTAAGGATATGACAAGATCCTGTCAGATCATCATCTTTTGCAATATGATTCTGAAGTTCTTGTCAGGATACCAAGGTTATCCTTAAGGATTGTCTCAGAATAGTTGTTCCTTCATTGATGGTTTTTGACAAGTTTGTCTTGTCTGTATTCTGAAAGTGACCTAGAACCTAAATCCTTCGTTGTCGTTTTGGTTTCATATTTGCAGCAAATAGAATTGAGATTAAATTCCTCAAAATTTTCTCATCTTTCAACTTGTCCACTCATTTGGTATTTTATTTGCAGAAGGGAGGGTTTGGAAGTTAATTTTTAAATAAGGTATGGTGGTATCATGCTTTTTAAAGCCTTTATTTTGCCATTGGAACTGGGGTGCTTTTTCCATCTGTTCAGAATAGGGTGTGTGAGACAATAATGAATCTGTCTCTTTAAGCCAAACACAGATCCTGACCTAAACGCTTCTTCATTCATCACAAGGATTCCCAGAATGTGCTGGCACCCCACAGGTTCTCCTGTCTGAAAAGCTCAGCTTAAGCTGTCAGTTGAGGTATAAGGCAGTAAAATAAGGTATTAAGATGTCAGTTGTCACATCTTGCAAATTCTGTAGTGCCTTGTAACACAGACAATGAATAAGGTGATTACAGGGGAAGGAACTGAGGAGTTGTAGCTGAACAACTGTTCTAGGTTTGATGATAGGAAGGTTGACAGGCACTGATTATATCAGAGCAGATTTCCTGCCTTACAGTGATACCATGTGGTTTAGTCCATTATCAGATGTTCTGGAGGTGGAGAGAAACAACCCAATTAATCCATGCATAGATTTTCTGTTTGCCTGCAGAGTGCTTTGTATGCCCATCCAGTGTAATTCGGCATGCACCTAATGTCCTAGGGGGGGTGAAGAATTTGCCATCTTGCCATAAAACAGGTTTCACCTTGGCACAGTGGAAAAAGCATATTAAGTACTGGGGAACTCAGTCTTATTTTGAAGGAGGATTTTGGAGTGAATTCCTTCTAACTACCTACCTTTACTTTCTCGAATTTTATGTCCCTGTAGGAGAAATGCGCACTAGCTTCATTATAACTGTAGGCTGTTTCACTCTGAAAACTGCAGCATAGGCTAACTGGCCTGTGTTTTAACAGATCACTGAATACATACTCACATCATATGTAAAGCTGTTACTACATTTTCTCCTAATTGCAAATTGGCAACTAAGCCTGCAATCTGAATCGTAATCTGGATGCCTAGTAGTTCTTTGATCACCAAGAGAAAAACGTAATGACAACCTGGTTAGCCTTTCTGTTAACTGAGAAGCTGGCATAGAATCAACTGTTGGCTTCTAATCCTCTTCTGGTGTGCTGGGAGGCATGGAAGCTGTGGAAAACCATGGCTGCAGTCTGATTTCTGCACAGTTCCTTTCAAGGTAAACCACAATCTAAATCTAATTCCTAACAGTGAAACAGGCCCACAAAGTGCAAGCATTTTGATGTTACTGCTAAGGCCTACTTGTAGTAAAGCTTGAGAATTCAACTAGCACTGTAAAAATTCCCATTTGTTGCAAAAACAGCTGCTGGGGTTACAAGACTACGATACATTGGCGAACATAGGTGGCTTTAGAGCCTTTTTCCCTGTTAAGACCTAGAACTAATTCTCTTTCTGATAATGGAAATCTGTTTCTTTGTGGCTGGGGAATGCCTGAGAAGAGCTTCAATACTGATGTTGCCCTTAGTTCCTCAAAAGATGGGACTGACAGGCTAAATACTTCTTTTGAAGAGATGAGTAAGCCAAGCTAACTTCAAGGCGAGAAGAGAAGGCAAAAGTTTTTTGGAAGTCAGCATCTGTGAACACCTGTCTGTTACTACCATACAAGCCCCATCAGGCAGAAGGACATTTGTAAAGGAAGTACTGTGTAAATTGAGAGCACGTCTATATCTCTGCTAGCAAGCACTGTTATCTCCCAAAGTCTAGAAGGTCTGTTGAGCTGCTTGAGTTAAAGTACACTAACTTTCATAGGCAGCAAGCAGTGGTGGGAGCAAAGTGCTTGACATTCACTTCTAGCTAAAATGACAGCTGCATGGGCCATGGGTGACATTTAGTGAGTCTAGAGCTATGACAAATCTATGCCTCTGTCTCTGTCTGCTTGTGTTATGTTAGTCAGTCACAGATCTGAGAGTCCAACAAGCAGGTAGGTAGACGGAGACAGCTGAGAGGTCTGTGATCCTGCCCCCTTCTGCAGAGGAGCTGAGCTTGATCTGGTCTGAGCTGACTTGGAAAGGTCTCCTACCACACCCTAGTTTCAGTGGCTGAATACAAAGGGGAAAGGGGTGAACAGAGTCTGGGGTGAAAGGGTTGAATCAAACAGGGTGAGGACATCGAATACTTGCCCTGTGACTCAGTACCTTCCCACTAGAGAACCTCCCTTGGCATATGTTGTCATACTGCCCTGAAGCACTAGCTGTGGTCAGAGCTCTGCTGCCCTGCAGGCTGTACAAATAGCTGAAAAGCCAGTCCCTAGCCCTAAGGAACATCTGTTCTGAGAAGACAAATAACAAGTGGAAAAGAAGGTGAAAGGGAGATGCAGTCATCTGTGTAAAAAGTTCTTGCCTTCCATATTTTCAGTATTCCTGCTGGCTGTATTCACAAACTGACTGAGCAATGAGGAGTTGGCTCATACCTGAGTAATTTATTTGCTTGAGGACAGGGAAGCTACTGCTCTGTTCCTGCTCCAGCTTAAAAGACCTGCAGCAAAAGAGAAGTGCTTCTTTTGGCTCTTTAAGAAGCACAGAGTTATAAGAGGGAGGGACAAATTTTAAATAGTGCAGTAATTCTATGAACTGTTGAAACCTGGCATTAAAACTGCCAGTGGTGACCTCAACTCCTGGCAGCCTCAAGTATATGTAGGTGATTTGAGACAGAAGTTATTTACACGCCTGGGGGGACTAACTTTTGACAGCACTTTCAAAAAGAAGTTTAAGTTCAAATTCGAATATAGTTGATGCATTCAAATTAGGCTTTTTTTTTTTTTCTGGCCATACAAAGATGGAGAAGTTGAGTGACAGGTAAGGATGGTCTGTCTTAGTGTAAGGGACTGGCTTAGTGTTGTTTCTCTGCTGTGAATGTTTGTCTGTATTTGACAGTGAAATCTACAACCTATAATAGAAAGATTATCAACATAGTTACTTGGTTGCACTAGAAGTTCTGTTTCCTAAACTCCTGAGAAATGTAAAACTGTCGTGAACCTCTGGAATTGGGCTAGACAATCTTTACGGGTCACTTCCAACACAAACCATGGCTGTTCACCAGACCTGTGGAAGATAGTACTGCCCCACAGCAACGGGGACTCTTTTTAGCCTGAAAACCTCAGTAATTGGAGTTATTTTGATTTCTCCCTTAGGCTCTGTTATTAGCTTGTTTTGCTTAAGGAAAGGGCACAAATGAAGTGAGAAGATAAGCTTGACTTGACTTTTTTTGTTTAAGTGCTCTCTAAATCTGTGTAGTAACTTTCCCAGTCTGCAGGTTAGTCTCCAGGCCATGTATAGGCATATGCCTAATATGTTATATGCCTAACAAGGAAAGAAAACAAGCTTTCAAAGTGTACACAGCAACCCCTTATTCTGTTCAAGTGTGCTTCATAAAAAGCAGGATGACCCTGAAGCCTGAAATCCAATTATTAAAAATTTGTCTCCCAGTATTTAAAATGGCTGCAGTTCACGTGATGGATATATGCAGATTAATAAATGGCAGAAACTTATTTTGTTGTTACTTCCATGGGATGAGGTCTTCCTTGGTAACTCATTGAATACATATAAGGATTTGTGTAACTTATGGAAAAAATGGCATCATGCTTCCAGACCACATTTGGAGTGTGTGTTTAAAAGCAGTGCCACAGGAAAACTCTGAAGAGGCATCTTCTAAGCCCCAAAGTAGCCAAGCTCATAATTTTAGTACAGACTGCTTCTGTTGTTCTGCTAGCTTATCTCAGTTTTAATCTTGGAAGCCTGGCCTTTGAAGGTAGGAAATCAAGATCTGCAGTCATTGGAGACTTCTCCAGAGCTGTCTCTGCTTGAGTGTTTATAATAGTGAAACTTTTTATATTTAAAGAGTTACCCTCAGAGCATTGGTTGAAGTAACAAGGCTGAGGTTCTCCCCTGTCCAGATTATTGTCATCCTTCACAAATAAATAAGGAAAGTAACAGATAAAAAGATGGAAGTAGCATGCTGAGTCAGCATTTTAAAAATTCAACAAACAAACCACAACCTAGCTCTCCAAAACAAACTAACAACCAACTTTGACTTTTATTCTGTTCACATTGGTAAATACATTGCCTGTGTCTATCTAATTTATCCATTTTTCTCCTCCTCAGGCATTTACCAGAGAAAATCAAAGATGATGTTCAGCTAAAGAATATGAGTGGGCAGTGGTTTTACGAAGCAAAGTCAAAGAGGCACAGAGACAAGATACACGGAGCAGACATTATTAGAGCGTCCATGCGCCGGAGGCCTGCCACTGTTGGTAAGCATTTGGCTTATATTTTGTTTTGGAAAGGCTGGCTCTTACTTACCTAACTTCCTGTACTTATCTGTGAAATACAAGAATATTGGTATCTCTACAAGCAGAAAGTGAAGCAAAAAAAAGAGACTTTCTATGTAATATACAGTGTAAGCTTTCCTCTCCCCTAATGCTGTATATTAAAAGCTCTCTGCGCTTCCAGGCTCATTCTCATTTCCATTTCCGAGGCTTTGTGAGCTACTTAGGAACATGCAAGGAATCAGAGATTGAGGAAGTTGCTCTTTAATGTGGATTTGCAAGATCCTGGGTGCTTAGTTTGAGACCTTTGAGGCTTAATGGTTGGCACCACAAGCTAGAGATAGTGCTTATAACTAGCTGCAATATATATGCTGGAAACTCTGGCAGCTAGAACTGGCATTCTATGTCCACATGAACTCTAAATGCACTCAGCAGGCCCACATCATGGTGAGTGGCCTGGTCACCATGAACTTCATCCGTGGGAGAGAGAGTGAACAGTCAATCTATATTCTCCAAAACATATATAATATAGTATACAGGATTTTATAGACCTCCATTATAAATCTCTTAGCATCTGACTTTTTAATCTAAAGAGTTCTGCTCTATTTTATCATTCTTTGTACAAAAAGTTTTTGTGTGTTTTTTGTTAGTTTGTTTTTATGTTTTGTTTTTTTCTTAGAGAGATTGACCCCCATCCACTCCTAATCTCCTCTAGTTCTATGAAATCCTTTTGATTTGGAAGGACAAGGCTTACATTATTCTTACCAGATTGTACTGATATTTGTATTATTTGGTTTTATAGGTTCTATTGAGGGATTTTGCTACATGCTAGTAAAACAAGTAAGATAATTCTCTCAATAATGTGGCTGGGCTATAGCTTGCTACTTTCTATAGGTTTTAACTACAAGTTAGCCTTGTTTTCAGAGAGGAGTTTGAATAATATCAGTTTAGTCAATTTGAAGTTAGTGCTTTGAGTTTTTAAGTTAACACGAGAAGACCTGAAACAGAAAAGAATGCAATAAAAAAAAATCATCAGGGGTTAGTGTGATATGTTTATGATTTTGGCTGGTTTTGGACTTGAAGATCATGAAAATCAGTTGTAAAATTCTAGCTGAATTTGACAGTAACTTGTAACTTAAAGGAAACTACTTCTATCCATAATATCTTAAAGGTAGGTTAATTAATCCCAATCTTATTACTTGAACAAAGAGCAATATTGGTACATTAGGAACTATGTGCAGTTGCTTGGTTTAAATGACTCATGAGACGGCAAGATATTTTTGCTTGCATTTACAGATAGCGAAAGTGAGAATAAAAATCTTGCTTATTTTTACACACGAAGAAGTTCTTCTCTTCTAAAATGCTGGAGAATGCAAAATGCAGTAGAGGAAATAATGTAATGTTTTTACTCTGAAAGGGGCTATCAGAATAGGATTCTGTCCCACCCTCGAAAGAAATGCAAATCTATTTGCATTTGCTGAATGAGGTGGGGCTTTTTGTTTGGTTGGTTTGTTTATACTTAACTTTTTAACTTCTTGTGATAATTCTGTCCCTAAAGGATTAACCTCCTGCTTCAGTGAGTTATGACCAACTTCCAGTTTACTGCTGTAGGAGGGGAATAATTGACTTGACTAACTGTACTTCAGCGTATTTTCAGTTTTCTATGGTTTAATCATTTTTGTTTCCTCAGGACACTGAGGCTGATTTTTTTATGTCTATCTAGCTGCAAGAACTACGGGATCATTCTTTACCTGAGCTGCTGTAGAAAACTCCTCCATTTAGGATCACTTTAAGGTCTCAAACAGATATATCTGGAGTAGTAGAGTGAAGTATTCAGAACAGTATTTGAGTGTTCTAGTGGCATAAAAAAAATATTTTTCAGAAGGCACAAGATCTGCTCCTGAAAACAGTTCAAAAATAGCAGACTTTAGAAATAGCTGTAGGACTAAATGCAGATACTTGTACTTGCTTCTTAAGAAATCCTGTATGAACATATGGGAGACAACAATATTCTTGTTTCACATTTTAGCTGAAGTGAGTCAGAACAAAATGAGCAAAGGAAAGACCAGCTGGGTGAGCAATGTTAATAAAGAAGTCTTTGTGCCACCAGATTTACACGGCATTGTGGAACATCAAGAAGAACATCAACAACTGAAAACTAGTTCAAGGTAAGCTGTCTGTTTAATTGCCCTTAGCATGTATATATCTGGACTAGTGAAGCTTATGAGCTCTAAGTTTCACCCAAAATATTGTACTTATCTCTTATTTCAAAGGTCATAAAATGTTCCCTGAGAACTGTCCAAGAAATCTCTGCATGTGAAAGGGACATAGTCAAGCATTGTTAATTGTTCTGTGTTCAAATGCAGAACAATCTTCAGCTTGCCTTTTCTCAGAAAAAGTTGTGAATGGAGTATAGAATGGTCCCACAGAATCACAGAATGTGCTGAGTTGGAAGGGACCCATGAGGATCATCCAGTCCAACTCCTGGGCCTGCACAGGACCATCCCCAAGAGTCACACCATGTGCCTGAGAGCATTGTACAAACATTTCTTGAAGTCTGTCAGGCTTAGTGCTGTGACCACACATGTTGTCATGTCACAGTTTAGTTTGGTTCCTTGAAGTGAGGCCAGGATTAGTTAGTAGTTAGTAATAGGGGAGCAATAACCTCTGCATCTCTTCATTCAGTCACTTAATGAGGCAAGACTGTTGGTTCAGCCTGAATTTTAAATTTGGATCATAGCATTATTTAGGTTAGAAAAGAACTGTAAGATCATCAAGTCCAACCATTAACCAGCACTGTCAACTCCACCACTAAACCATGTCCCCAAGTGCCACATCCACACATGCTTTGAACACTTCATATCACGTGAAAATCAGACTAAAAAAATGTTGTTTAGAATTTTCCAGATTTTGGGGTACATAGTTTAAGACCTCTGAGACTTCTTAAGAGGACCAAACATATTTCAGATGGAAAGAGCTAGAATGTTTAGATATTTGCAGAAAATGAGTCAGATTCTACCAAGAAAAGTAAATGTCTTTCTGGAATGGAGAAGCTTCCTTTCAGA